AATTTTTTGAAAAAACTAATTGATGAACGATAAAGTATACGATAAGATTTTTCGAAATTTTTTTTAGAAAGTATTGATTATATTAGTTCGGCACAAGTTTCAAAATCTCAACCTGAAAGTGAACTATCATTTTATGATGTAATTGACCCAGAGTTGCTATTACCTTTTGAAATATTAGAAAAAATTAGACATTTAAAAAACATTATTATTCCTGAGAACAGCATATATGCAGCATCTGTTGCTTTTGTAGCTGGTTATATTATAAAAAAATTAGACGAGACATTTCACTGCGATACATGTCTCTCACCATTATTATCTACGGTAACTCCAGGACCTTTATTACGTTTAATTTGTCTTCAAGATCGTGGTGGTCTGATATACCCTAATTATAAGTTTGTGGGTATTTTAAAAGAATTATCAGACATTGTTTTGCAGGTTTTACCATATTTATTTGCAGAAAATCCTTGCCAACAATTAGTCAATCTTTTATATCCACATATTCTTCAAAACGTCATTTTTACCTGCAATGAACATAAAGAAAAGATTTGTAAATTAATAATTGAACTCTTGTCTAAACCAATTTTAAATAATATTTGTCTCGAAAAAACCGATAATGTAAAAAGSAAAGTTGTTCAGAACAAACCCGTAAGTCGAAAAATTTTTAAATTATAACAACATGATGTAGCCTCATCGAAGAAATCTGGTACAATAATTATTCTTCCCGATTGGTTCTTTCATGTTATTTGATTTCATTATTATAATTAATACATATTTCTATTGTATTGTTGAATTTTTGTTAACGTTTATTAAAAAAGAACAATTTCCATCAATAATTATTATTTAACTTAAAAGTAAGAAATTTATTTAGAAAGAATGAATTTATTAATGAAGTCCAGATGATTTTCAGTTAACCAAGTAGATGGCATTACTTACCGGACGATTTCGACGATATTTTTGAGGTTAGGAGAATTGACTTTTGGTTCGTTATGTTACGGCCGTATGGAGCGCAGCGGAAGACAGATGAAGTTGGCCATGAACGATAATATGGATGGCGCCATCTAGACCAGGATCGCGCGCGGCGCTGTTTCGGACTTCGGTCGATAATTCAGTTTGCCTTTTTACTTGTCGGTGGCGTTTGCATGTGTTTTATTAGATCTCCAATCGTTTTTAACAGGTAAGTCAATGTCTTGATATTTATTAAATGTTATAAGTAAAATGTAATTCGTCTGACATTCGGTTGTATATAAAATTAAAGTAAATCAAATAACTGAATCCTGACCCACGAACGTGGTTTTTATATTGTTGTAATCGTTTTTCAATGTCATAAAAGAAAAAAAAACATTGTTTTCGCGTCCAAAACATGGTAGTAATTAATAACTAGAATAATTATATTTATTATACTGTTATCACTGGGAAGTTGTAACACGTGTTGTACTACTTGTACTTAACTTAAAATTAGGTACAGGTAGGCAATTGCTTATCTGACACGTATTAGCATAGATAAACTATTATTAGTATTAGTATCATCATGGTACGTTAATGGACATTGTTGAATAAATCGCTATTTTTTATTAGTGTTGAAGTAATAAATTAAGAAAACAATAATAACAATTACGATAATAAACATAAGAACAAAAATAATAATTTTTAATTTATTAACTTGAAAACTTTTTTCGGAATTTTTGATATTCTTCATTGAATATATTTAAATTCTTGAATACAGTACTTTCCATTTAATTTACAATTTTTGAATCTTTTCATTTATTGCTCTCATATTTTTAGTAGGTATGTCTTTCAAATATTTTCAAAGTTCTTTTCTTTACATCATCGATGTTTTGTTTTGTTTCTTAATTCTGCTAGTTTCTTAGGATCATAATTATTGTAGTTATCTAATTTATATTCCAATTCATCTATTTTATTATAAGCGGACTCTAGCTCACAGTCAGTCATAATTAATTGTTCAAGGAATAAATTAGCTGCTTTTCTTGCAATATATTTATCTACAACTTCTTGTTTGAAACCAACTATTTTTGCTCCCCCTTCTAATCTGTCTATTTCAGTAATAATAGGTTTTAAATCTTTTTTTCATTTTTCTTTTTCATCGTTGCGAATGTATGAAACTAGTTTGTCCATTTATGACTGAAAAGTTTCTAAAGATTTACTAATTAATTCATCTGTTTCTTTATCTAAACTTATATTTTTACGACTACCTGCTTTATGTTCTACATTATCGAATATTTTTTTCTTTTATTTTTTTTCTCTTTTGTTCCCAATTGTTCCGATTTGTTCTCTTTTGTTCCGGATTGCTCTGGTTTGTTCCCGTTTGTTCTCGTTTTACATGCAATATTAATTCCAACTGAATTTAGTCCCATATTAAGGGAATTCTTTGTTAGTTTTTTATTTACAGTAGAATTGAGATATTCAATGGCAAAATTACGATTTCTCATTTGCGTTACTTTATTGATATTTCTTGGTATATTTAGTTTCTTTATCTTGAGTAAAAGATTTGTAACAATTTTTAAATTGTTGGAGTTCAGATTGTTGTCTTGTTTTTAATGGTGTGTAATACTCTGCAACAATTTTACTGTCTTTAGTATTTGCCATTTTTTTAAAATTTATTTTAGAAATTTTGTCTAATATTAAACTTTTGTTGGTTATGGTTTGCCATGTAATAGAGATTTGTTTTCGGTCTAATTTGACTTGTATGGTTAAAGGCAATTTATACCCCTTCTCATTATTAAATTATTATAAATAAATATCAAAATCAATGGTCTTTCCCAATGCAAATAATTGTGTTTATATTTTGCTACAGCTTTCTTGATAACCAGTCCAATTTTTTTTCTTCACCTTATTTCATCATGCCTGGTGGTAGAAAGAGTGGACGAAATACAACAGCAATAGAATCCGAAAAAAGGCCAAATTCCAACCCTGACGACACAGTCGAACCAACTGCAGTGAGTGGCTCACTTGTTTCAAATAAATATTTTGTTGATTCGCAACTTATGTGAATATTCAATATTTGTATGTTTCTGTATTCTTTTTCCAGGGTACAACATCCCACGGTAAAGTTGTAGGTGTGGATGGAACTGCTGCTATCTCTGGAAACAAAGTAAGTTGTTGTGTTAGTTACTAAATAATTCAATGACTTTTATTTACATAAACCAAAGATCGACTCTAGTTCATCACTGTTTTCGGAGATCATGGCAAAAGACCACTTTGTTGATAAGACAAAAATTATAGAGGTTCTATTCGGGGATTCAAAATATGTTCTTATCACAAAACCAAGACGATTCGGCAAGTCCACCATCATGAACATGGTAGAAGAGTTTGTGAAGAAGAAGGTATACACAACAGGAGATAAAGTAGGACAAGAAATTCTGAGGTCAACAGAAAATGATCGTGCATTTCCTGAGATGAATTTGCGTCTGTTTGAAGATGGGAACTTGGAAATTTCCAAGTGGGATGAGTTCTCTCGCCATCGTGGGATAATATCCGACCATTCACATAGATTTCCAACCGATTGGTAGTAGTGATGATTATCTGGGAATTTTTCTTGAGTTTAGTAATGCCGTAAGACGTGCATTCGAGGAGCACAAATATTTACTGTGCTCAACTGTGCTTGACAGAGAAGATAAAGAACAGTTTGAAAAATACCTGAATCCAAATGAGATACGACATGATAGCAAGCACCCCAGAAGCGATTTTATTGGCTTTATTGTCAATTCATATAACAGAAGCTTTGCCATTCCTAGCTAAAGTTTTACACAAACACTACAATCATGGAATTTATCTTTTCATTGACGAGTACGACGCGCCTATTAACAACACACTCTTCATAAATAAAGATCTTTGCGAAAAAGTTAATGGCCTGCTTACCGTTTTCTTTAAAAATCTTTTGAAGCGACAAGACAGTTTCATAGCTCGTGCTTTGATCACAGGGATATCTTATATGAGTTCAGTAAGCGTGTCAAACAATGTGAAAAAACACATGTTTCTCAGAGGAGCACTGGGTGGTGATGATAGGTATGAAGTATTTTATGGCATAACAGAAGAAGAACTGGAGCAGCTCACAACAAAGTTTACTGAGAAATTTTGGCAGGGCGTGAACAAACTCCCTAAAGAAAAAGTGGAATCATATTACAACGGATACCAAAGTATTGGACGGAGTAGAGTCAAGATATATCCTATTTGGTCAATTGTGAACGCTCTAGAAAACGGAGAGATAAGCAATTATTGGGAGCAGTCTGGAATCATAGCGGGCGCAAGAGAGGGACTTAAGATACCAATTGTTCGGATCGCAATTGAAAAGTTGTTGTCGGGAAGACACATTAAATGTGAAATTCCATATAAATTAGAGCTAAGACACCTCCATGACCTGAGTGACGTGATTTTGAAGAGGGAAGAGAAAAGGACTCTCTTAAAACCTGATGTTTACCTTTCCTTTCTGATGCAACAAGGGTATTTAGTGTATGAAAAAAATATAGAAGAAGACATATTTGAAGTTAAAATTCTTAATACATTTATTGAGAACGAATTTAGAAAACTGATCAATACGGATGTTGGAAATCATTATGATTATCTCACTGCAAAAGTAACGGCAGTGTTCGAGGAGTTCCTAGATGATCCAGATGATTTAAGTGATGAAATTGTGAAGAGGTTAATTAGTTCTATGCAGGAGGTATTTGAACATGTGAGCGAAAAATGGAACCAATCCCACGAATACATGTACCATTGTGAGATTTTCCACTGTTTGTGTAAGTCATCAAAGTACAAGTGTTGCACTGAACTGTCGGTACTTGCGTTCAATTCAGAAAATAAAGCAGTAATAATTAAGGTCAATCACTGTCAGAGTGCATTAGAGGCTTTTGAACAAATTGAAAGTATAGGCTATGTAGAAATTTTCAGGAAAAATTTATCAAAAGAAAAGCTCAAATGTGTTTGTATGGGATTGAATGTGGATAGCAACAATAAAGTAAGCATTGCCTATAAGAATGCAGATGAGCCTGGTTCACCACGTATTATTTCTTTGGAAAATGGAGACTGAAATGTACCTGTTGTGTTTATTACATTGTTAAATTTCGTTTCTCAATCAGGTTAAACAGTAGGTTTATGAAACATGTAAAAAAAGTTTCTAGTTATTATGTTCAAATAAAGGAATTTGCAAAAATTTTACGTCGAATAAAAATATTTTTTTAACTTTCAAACTTAAAATAATATATTCTTGGCCGGTTGTATAAAGATGTGTCAACATGATTTTAACTGATCATGTGACCCCTCTTTGAACGTGTTGATTGCTTTATTCATGTTTAATTGATTGTCAAAATCTTGTTAAAGTTGACACAGCTTTATACAACCGGGGCTTTATGATGAAAACAGTAAAATAATAAAAAAATCTTATCCAAAGGTGGGTGTTTTGCATTTTTTTTATATAAACAAATATAATAATCCTCAATAATAATTATTTATTTATTTTCAGTATGTTATGTATCATCTTTCAAACTTTTTTATTGTAATGACAGTTTTTACCGTACTAGTGCGGTAAAGAGAAGTTTAGCAGTTTTCATTGCAATTGCTTTCACTTGAATGCTTGTTAAAAAAATAAACAACTTCGTAACTAGGGTATGTATTATGTATCGTAAAATTTCATTTTTTTAATAAATAATATTATTGTTTTTCAATAATTAGCATAGACGCTATATGTACAGGATGTTCCGTCTAAACCCCACTTTAGAAGTATTGGGAGTTGGAATAATCGTATTTATTTGAAAATTGGTACATAGCCATAAACCATTAAGTTCTCCTAAATGAAAATATTTTCAAGATGGCGGCACTTCCGCTTATACCGGAAGTCGGTGTCAACTTTCTTATTTTAAATGGAAAGGTATATTTTTTACTGCGTTTTTGGATTAATCGGGTTATTTTAAGGGAGTTTTTATCAGGTCATATTTGGAGTTTTTAAAAAACTTTGCATCTGCACCTTCCACTTTAAAAATCGGTAACTCTGCTATTTTTTTAAATTTTGAATTCGTTTTTTTTCCGTTTGAAAGAGAAAGTTTAGATCTTTCTTCCGGTGTTCTCAAATTTTGAAAAAAAAATTAACAAACCATAAAATTTTAAGGTTACTTTTGTAATAATTCAAATACCCATAACTCAATTTTTCCAAATAAAATAAAAATAGTTCAAATTGTAAAGCAAAAGCAAAAAATAAACAAATGCTTGACCAAAAATTGAAGCGTTTTGAGTGTTTTAAGACACGAAGCTTTCCATCGTAAAAATGTAAAACACTCCACAACATCTCATTAAATAAACAAGGATTTTAGGAAAGGAAGTTGTTTCTCTCATTACATCCATTTTGTGTTTAATTGCGTTCAAATAATGGTAATAATCGATACATTTAATACCCTGAAAGTGTTTATTATTTTCTTCGAAATACCGAAAGTGGTAATCAAATTAATCTTAATCGAAGAATGGGCTAAAAATATTTAAATATTCCGTTTTTAACGAACTGGGAATTTGCTTTGTCAATGTTGACGAGTTTTTTAAACGCTTCAAAAATTTACAAATTGCGCTATCGTACAAAACTCATAAGGAAGTGGCTACTTCCCAACGTGAACTGTCATATGTCACGTTTTCCAAAATTTGATATCTTTATTGCCTTTCTGTTCGTTAAAGAGAATTATTGCGAATAAAATAGTATACAAGCTCGCTTATTGATATTGGTAATGAAGCACCTCCCACCTCGGTGTGTAATCTACTATTTCCTCTTTATGTTTCTCATTCGACTCTTTTTCTTAGTACAAACAAAACTATTTCAATTTTAACGTTTCAGGAAAAGCCACAAACCTGAAATTAGGCAATATTTACAAACAGTTTATTGTTGACGTAATAATAAACGCTTCAAACAACTTCAAAATGGGTCTGAAACTGTTACGAGTTTTGTTCAAAATCGGGAACTACTTAGCAATAACGCCAAAAAACTTTAAAGTTTGTGAACCAACGACTTCTGAATTTTTTTTGAGATGTTTAAAATTGATTTTTCAAACTGCCCAATACTAGATAAAAATTACCATTTTGGGTTCATAGCCACCAATGTGATATTTTTCACGATTAATGTTTACCTGAACGTTGTTTTTGTAAACGTTGTTGGAATAGATTTTGTCAAGCAGTTTACGATTAATTTTCCTAAATTGTACGTACAGTTTTTTGTAAACTTTCTAATGTACGAAATTTTGAAAATTCTCAAAATAAGGTACCAATTTTTGACACAAATACTTAAGACAAATATCACAAACACAACTCTAAAGAGAGTCTCCCATGATTACATACTTCTAAAAGAAAGTGTCAATATTTTTAATAACATTTTTGGATGGCCTATTCTCCTCAATAGGTCCATTCCAGCCTCCAAATGGTCGTTTACCCGTCTGATACTTTTCTCTCAACACAGATTGAATGGATTTTGGCCGATATTTTTGTCATGGTTTTATTTTGCGTAAGTTTATAAATTTCAACCCATTTCGTTCAACTTTTAATTTTTTCAGAGTGGCAACCTTGTGACTATCATTACATGCGACTCGGTTTTATCCGAGTCTGAGAAAATTCTAACAATTTCATTGAAACACCTGAAAATATCACCCAATTCCAGAAATTTGCTCAAATTCGTCGAAATGGGGGTTGCTAATTTTCCGAAATTTTCAGCAGCACGGTTTTTTTCAGTCAACAGGACTACGATTTTGAAAATTTTGGATGCGACAATTTCGTTTTTGGTCGTCTTAGTCCAGTTTCAGGTAGCGCTTAAATAAAGAGGTTCAAAAGAAAATAAAAAAATATATTTAAGATTCTTGTCTAATTTTATCACAATGAGCCCTCAAATGTGCATTTTGCCTTTCCCTATGCGAACAGCTTCTTCAATGGTGTCTGGCAACCTCACATCTCTTGTCTCAGGAAACAGGAGTGTTAAAAATCCTGCGATCACAGCCATGATGGTGTACAAAATCGTGGGTAAAGGGTCCCAAATTTGGGCCTAAAATTTCGAGTTTTTTTACTTCATTTGATGTTTTTTTGAGTACCAGTAGAGGAGTTTGGGGAGCCACCATTGAACCAATTGTGGAAAAAGTCGAGCATGCTCCTACTAAAGAATGTCTCAACGGTGTTGGAAACAGTTCGCTTGTTATTACAAATATCACTGTGTACGCAGCTGTGGAACCAAATTTTGCCAACAACCACAAAAAAAGACTTACATTTGGAGAGCCTGAAGAGTTAAATATAAAAAATTTAGATGAAATACCAATTAAAATGATTTTAATTTACCTTTTGGAATAAATGTGAAGAGGCAACAGGAAATGCCAGTTAGAAAAAAGGAGCCACTAAGTGACCTCTTTCTGCCTAATTTATCTACAAGGTAAATACAAGCGAAATATGCTGGTATTTCTACCAGAGTAGTTAGAATGAAATCCAAGTAAGGATCCCCCGCCAAGTCTATGGAATTCAGTGTTAGGCCAAAGAAAAGAAAGGAGCAAGTAATCCAACAAAAAAAGCAAACAACAAGTCGACAAACCAAAATCGGGGATTTAAACACATCAAAGAAAGAATCCTGAGTTTTGACTTGGCTCACTTTGAATAGTTTTTCTAAGGAGTGTTCCGATATTTCTTTACCATTCACTTTTGCAACTCGTTTTAGTGTTTCTTTGGCTTCTTCTATTTTCCCTTTACTCAAATTCCATCGAATCGATTCTGGGATTATCCAGAAATATGCAAACAAAAACAACGGAGGACCGTATAGAAAGTAGATAATAAGTCTAAAAATAAATTTAAACTTGGTTGATTAGAAAATAATTACATGCCTCCAGTCTTGGAATTTCCAAGCCAAACCTGCAACGAAAACTTCTCCTAAAGTGTAGGAAGAGCTTAGAAGTGTGCTAATCAAAATTCTTCTTTTTGGTCCTACCAATTCAACACCTGGAAAAAGGTGATAACTTCAGTAGATTAATAAAAATATTATACCCAAGATAAATCCACAAACGTAACTGCCTGCACCAAAAACAGCATCCAGAAATTCAAATACTAAAAACCAAATGTAGCTAGGAGCTTGTGTGCGAATTAATCCACAAATACTACAGAATATTAGCCCCAAGATAAATACGATTTTGCGACCAAACCTTAAGTTTGTACAAATTTAATTATGGAAAATATGTTGAAATCACTCTTTTACTTATCGGATATAATTCCCGAAATAAACATGCTTAAAAATTGACCCATGTTGTTAATGGTGCCAACTAGTGTTAGTTTCCACACGTTATCGTCGCAGTGAAGGTTATACTAAAAAAAAGGAAGGTTTTAAGGACAATATTTGCAAAAGTGAGTCAAAAAAGGGAGATTTTTGTAATGAAAAATAAAAATACAAAAAAAAGAAAATTTACGTTAAATTTTTAAAATTTTGTATGGGAAATTCTTGTAAAATTAAAGAAAATTTGTAGGTCACCTAGCATGAGGGCTGAAAGCATAAAAAAATATTTACAATATGTACTGTAATGTTTCAAATTTATAGAAGAACATTCACCTCTTGTAAAATACTTTTCTCTCTTGTTTTGTAAACAAATTTATTGCACTTTTCTACCTTGGTGGTAAAATTACTAGTTTCGGTACAATTTGCAAAATCATCTGTACCATTAATTGCATATTTTATACACTTGTCTGGAACTTTACCATCAAATGGGACAGCATTTTGTAACCAAGGTGGATCAAAGGGGGAGTTTTCTGTATCACATTTAGGGATTTCACATCTGAAATACACAAATTACAAATTAAATTAATTTATATAAAAAAAAAACTAAAAAAATTATGTGAAAATTTAGAATTAATCAAAATATAGTAATGTTTGCTCTTAGCACAATATTTGCTTGGGTGTTTTAGCTAAAACTTCTAATTAAGAAGTATTATTTAAAACATTATGAGTTTTATAATAAAAAATTGTCCAAAATAAAGTTTTTTAAAGTTTTGAAATGAAATTAAAAATTTTTTTTTAGAAATCTTTTTATAAAACTAAACAACACCTACCTGTACTCAACATCCCTAGCAGTAAACACAAATGCAACATAAGCTCCTGAATGTAGAATTGTAGCGAAACACACTAATCCAAAAATAAATGACTGAAACTTTCCAAAATCACCAAGTTGGATTAAAACCGAGTCTAAGGAACTATCTAAATTTGACATAGTGTTTGTTTAAAATTCCGAAAGTAGAAAAATATCACTTCATTTTACTTCAATTTAAATAAAAACATTTTTTTTATTCAACTAGCAACAGTAGTAGCTGCATTTCAACTAAATTTTTGTATTGTGAGCGACTATTTAATGTGGTTTTTATCGCAATAATTAACTAAAAAGTTTCAAATACAGTCACATGATATTTTATAGACAAATTCAGGAAATTAGTAGGTCGTTATAAACAAATTTTTGTGCCTTTCAGAAAGGTCACGGTCATTTTTGAAGATGTGTTGAGTTAAAACAATTGTAGTTTATCAAAGATTACCATAATTTCCCTAATTTTAACGCAAACAAACAATTAAAAATATAAAATACGAGTTTCTAATAAATTGGTTTATCCGCAAACGTCACAAAAGTGACCACTTTTATGACTAAATGTCAAGGTTTTACCTTTCAATCATGGAGTAAAAGTTTTATTTTTGCGCATAAGCGTTTTTACTTTTACCACGACATTATATTGACATTTACCAATGTTGTTTCTTTCTTGTCTCTTTCTTTGTAGATTATATCAGTGTTTAATATTTTGCACTACTAACTGCACTAGCTAAACTAAAAAAACTTTTTCGAAAATTTCAACACAAACTCCGATGCTGAAGTATGATGTTTGTATATAAGTGTTTTTATGATTTTATTACTTGTGAAGCATTTTGATTATTTTGTTTATTTACTTGCTCACTATAGTGTTGCTCTTTACTCCCGATCTGAATACGTTTGCGAGTAAAATAGTTATGTTGTTCGGAGTACAAGTGAGTAGTGGCTCAGCTAAATAAAAAAAAACATAATATACTATTTTTATATTCTGTATTTTGTATCTTTCAATTTCTAAGTGATAAGTTTTTATCAACTATTTATTTTTAGCTATGTTGTAGCACAACATATGAATTTATAGAAAAAATATCATCCATTGTTCTCTCTTTAAATAATAAAAAATATTCATTTCGTTTTTTTAATAATGAATGGCCTAAATTGAGACAAAATGAAACTGGATTTTAACTCGTGTCTACCAATGAATAATTTGTTATTTCTAACTCAACTTTTATGTAAACCAGACGAAAACAAATAAAAAATGAATAAATAATAATGAAGAGTATTGCATTTATTAAGTGCTCTTTTTTTAATTACATAAATTATCATTTGCTTTGAAAATGCGTGGTTTCTGTGCTTCTGCTTATTTGTTGTGTCGAAATTATCCCTTTCTACCACTTTTTTTCAGTAATATTTCAATCAATAAGAACCATAGTGCAATAAAACACCCAGTAGCAAAAATTTCAAAAGAAAAATAGATATCGACGATTCCGACGCTTTTAAAACTCCCTCCCTTGCTAACACAATTCGGTTTTTTATAATAAATTCGATTCATTTGACGATGACGTATACCACTTTCATAAATTTTTCTAAAACTAAAATATAAAAACCATCATTGCAATATCATATTTTCCCTCTTACCTAACTTTGACAATTTCCTTATATGGTGAATGTTTCCTCATCGTAATACTTGGATACACAACATTCAAATAATCGATTTCGCTTAATCCACATTTTTCGTGTTCTTGAAACGTGTCCATTACCACCTTGTAACCAGATGTTGTCTCAATGTGGAAGGCGAAAAACTCGTTTTTCACCATCTCTATCCCCTTTTCTGCACTCATGAAATTCGGTTTCTGACCTTTGGGGGCTATTTTCTTCTCGTAGATTGCTTTCCTAGTGGGTTCTTTTTGTGTCTGAAATATAAATAAATAAAAATTCAGTTTGCTGAAACAAATGTGGCATTACCTGAAAGTAATGATGGTTATATACTATATCTTCAACCCCCAAGCTTATTTTTGAGTTGAGTAAGTCTTGCAAAGTGTTAATATTTGCAGACGTTGATTGTAGAAGCACAACAATGTTCGCAGAATACGACGTGTACAAGAACATTAAAACCAAGAACACGATGAACACAGCAATTCGTCCAGACAAGCCTTTAGGCTCGTTTTCGGAGCCTTGTTGAGTAATGGCCCCAATTTGGACCATAACAACATCAGAGAATTTTGGTTTTATATTATCAACGTTATTTCTTCGTTTTAAGGCATTTTCGTACTTACTTTCGCAGAGAACAATCAAATACAAAATTAAGACAGTAACTCCTATGGTAAAATACCAGCAGTACCAAACATTTATATCGAAGGGTAAAGTGAAGAGATTGTTGACGTAACTCAACGGCGATGCTCTTAAGATAAATTTTAAGTCTGTTGGAGTTGTTACTGAGAGATAATCAACAATTGTCATGCGATCAAGAGTGTAGAAGGATACGGTACCGCCGATTTCGGCATTACCGTTTTGAATATCGCCGAACATACCCCCAAAAAATTTCGTATCGTTTTGCCCCTTGTACCCCCAGGAGTCTCGCTGAATGAATTTCTTCGTGCAATTCAGCATCTCAAGCATTGGATTCACAAGAGCAAAACTCATTCTACTATAGGACTCGAAGTGTCGAAAGCGGTAATCCTCAATATCAAAGGGGTATTCTGGTCTCGTGACCACATACGAAACCGTTAAATTAACCCCACTTAAATTTGATCGATTTTGAGTTAACACAAATTGATTGTAATACTCAAAACTATTATTCGAGAAAATTCCCAAATCGTTAAATATCAATTCCGTGTCGTTTTGGGCCCGTTTGTACCAGAGTTTTAGATGAAATCGATCATTTGAAATTTCTGAAGCCACAGCAAAGTTACTGTCCAATAGCAAATCATTTGTTGAAAATCTTTGATTTGTAAAATTTTTATCGAAAACTAGCCATTTGTGTGGAGCTTGAAACAGTTTCAAAATTTTGGCCTAAATTTTGTGTGAGGTGTAGAAAGAAAAAGTACTCACTTGGCCAAGAAGCGAATTGAAATGGGGACATAAAGTGTCACCAACTATAAGTGTATTTGGGGAAATTTTGGCCAAATTGGCCTCCCAATGATTTGCGATCACATTTAAAACAATATTTTCTTGCAGCAACTCTTTGTATGCAGTAAATGTTTTTTCTGAAAACGGTTTTGTGATATTCTATATTCTATATTCTATATTCTATATTCTA